GCAACCTTCAACAAGCCATTACTCCCTTTGTAGGGGAGACCTAGGAGACTTGTGACAGAAGTGAGTTGTGACGAAGACGACTTCTCTCTACCTATAATAGTTAGCGAGCTGGCAACAACGCTCGTTTGTCGCAGGTGTCGCGTTAGGCCGGCCACACACGTAACGGTATACATGACAGGTAAACCTGTACAGGTCACCTGCGCAGGCAAACCGGAGCGTGTGTGCCAGTCGCTGCAGGCGAAAGTGCACAGGCGAAGCGACCTGCGCCGGTCACCTGACAGGAACGGAGATTTGGTATCTTGTACCTGCGCAGTCGTCAGTTATACCCTAGACCTGAGCGTGTGTGTGAGTACGTCTGGTCGCCTGCGCAGTAGTTTTGTTTAGTTCGGGCTTCTTCCGTGAAGAGAGTGTCTTTTGTTTCCTCATAACCGTGTCTTTCTTTTCAATTAATGGAGTCACGAGTAACAACAGCTGTTTATAGGCGTCTTCATCCATCCGCAAATAATTACGGAAGTCTGAAGGCTCACCAACCAAGTCTTTCAATAATCTTGTATGAGTGTATTCATTTCTTTTAGTAAGCCACTTTTTACTCCACATTTTACGTTTAAACTTCTTCTTCTTTTTTAAAACCACACACAATCCGACTAAAGCTATCATATCATCTTCATCTTGGCTCGCCATCTCTCAACTGAGCTAAACGTACGGTATACCGTTACGTGTGTGGACTCTAGTTTGCACAGGTATACATGACAGGTAAACCTGCGCAGGTTTACCTGTCATGTATACCGTTACGTGTGTGGCCGGCCTTAGGTGTCGTTCTCACTGAAGCGATACGATAAGCGATGCCAACATGAGCAATCTCTTATCGCCCGATGCAAATTTTATCCTCGCAACACTCCAGTGCACACTGGAGCGACACTGGTGAGAAACGGAGCAGTTGTTTTCATCAGTCGTCATGAGCTCCTCAGAGGAGGACGTTGTTTTTGATAACCGGTACTTGCAAAAGAGGAAACGGGAATCTAGAAAATACTGGATACACCCATATAATGTTTAATATTAAACATAGTTCGGCAGTGGTTTCCTGTGAGCTCTCCCAACACGAACAGAACGAAGGAAAAAGAGGATTGCACGTCTTCTTGCTGACCCGACATGAGCGTGTCAAAGGATACTGCGCCTTTCTTTCGCTCAAGCGACCCGGCAGCTGTATTCCCCTCACCGACGCGACTCCGATAATTATCGGTGTAGTATTGCGATCGCTCCAGTGCTTCCATTATGTATGCTCGATTATGAGTGACCGGTGTCAAATCAGGATCGGATTGCTTGTCGAATCACTTGTTGCATCGCCTATCGTATCGCTCCAGTGGAAACCGCGACTTATTTGACTTAGTACCCGCCGGCGTCGCACGAGAAACGGTTGCGGAATTACGACGTCTTCGTGCAAAGCGAAAAGCAAGTTTTTTTTCAAAATTTTTATTGGATTCAAATCATGTCTTATTACATTTATTGTTGTGTTATTTTTTCTTAAATTGTAGGCTTATTCAAGTCTTAAAGCGTTGCATTGATCTTTTGTCATCGCATGGTGTTTAGAAAATATGAATTATTGTTCGGACTAAGTCGTCATTTTGAGCGCTTAGGCGAGTTGTGACAGCATGTCACAACTCTCCTATATCTGACTTCATTTTTCTGCTGGGCTATTTCGAAAATGTTTTTATTAATTTGCGATATTTGTTTGTGTGTTTGAACATTAGTTTAATTAGATCAAATCTTGCAAGTACAGTCTTCAATAATAGCTTGTCTCAAAAAAGAATTTTTGGCAAAAAAAATATTTGGTCTTGAGGTGTGATGTTTGCATGTTGAATGGCAATTTTTTTAGATTTCATAATGCCTAATAAGTATACAAGAAAGACTGATAAAGGAACTGCTAGTGGCGAAATCTACGATCTAAACTACACGTCTGTCAAAATATATTAAGAAGAAAGAGGCTTATCAAGCAAACCCAGTAGGCGTGGCTTTATCTATGGGTTATAACAGACCGACGATTTTTACCGAAGAGGAGGAGAATATATTATGAGAGTATTTGCTAACATGTGCAGCATCTAATTATGGGCTGACAACGAAAGAAACATTGTGTATGAATTAGCCAAAAAATAAATTAAAAAAATTCCAGAGTCATGAAAGGAAAATGAAAAAGCAGGAGAAGTGTGGCTCAAGCTATTTATGCAACGACATCTCAATTTATCTTTAAGATTGCCTCAAGCCATTAGCATAGTTGGCACTACCAGCTTTAATAAAACAAATGTGGCTCTTTTCTTTGATAACTATACTGGCGTCTTAAGCAAACATAAACTCGATACAAACGTTATTTGGAATGTCGATGAGACCGGAATGACTACCGTCCAAAAGCCTGATATGGTAATTGCGCGACGCGGAGAAAAACAAGTCAGAAAGGCAGGAAGGGGGACCTCAATCACATTGGCTTCAGCTGGAAACGCAATAGGTAATTATATACCACCTATGTTTATATTTCCACGTAAACAATTCCAAGGCTATTTCATTTGGGACGGCCCAATTGGTTCAATCGGAACAGCTAACGGATCAGGCTGGATGCAAGAAGATGATTTTCAAGTTTTTCTTGACCATTTTGAAAATCATTTTAGACCTTCAAAAGAGCAAAGAGCTCTGTTGCTTCTAGATAATCATGCTTCGCATACAGCTCTGATGAACATCGAATTATGTAGAGAAAATGACATAATTTTGCTCAAATTTCCCCTATACTGTACGCACAAGCTACAACCACTGGATCGTGCTATTTTTGGACCTCTAGGAAAAGCAATTAATACAGCTTGTGGCAATTAAATGCGAAACAATGCTGGGAAAGTCATGACCATCTATGAAATCCCATCTATAGCAAAGTCTGCATTTGATGTAGCAATCACTGCAACGGATATTAGTGCTGGTTTTGCTGCAACTGGAATTCAGACATATTTGGAGCAGCCGATTTTCTTCCAAGTCAAGTCACTGATCGTCACAACCCAGAACTAGAGCAATCAAATCACTTGAGAAAGCTACTGTGCTAGCGAAACATGTTGTGATATATTTTTCAAATAAAGTTTGTGGAGATCAAATCGTGAGGTGTAGTTTTGGAAATTACTATGGATCTTCATCAAGTAGCGGCCGAATCAATCAGAAAACTAGAGCAATTCATTTCAGAAGTTGTGAAGAATCCAACAGAAAGAACCAAATTTCAACACCTGCACCGTTGATAATGATGAAGCAAAAGCCATTATTCCAGGTGCACGTATAGATCAGATCATGCCATCTAAAAAGTCATCAGTTGTGAACAATAATGCCAATGAACCTATTGCCTCCACGTCTACAGACTATACCCTAGTTCTAAATGTTAATGCCATGGAACCTATGTCATCCACGTCTACAGCCCATAGTCCTCGTGCCACCGTTACTAACGTGTTCTCGTCAAAATCAGTTAGGCCGTTGCCAAAAGTTCAGCCAATAAAAAAACAGCCAACCAAAGAGACGCAAAATCAAATCTGCTGTGCTTACTGACACACATACTAAGGACGAAATAGCTGCTATTGAAGCTAATAGAAAGTTGAAGAATGTAAAAAACGTCTCTAAAGCGAAGAAAAGAAGAAACCTAAGAAGACTAATAAGAAGAAGAGAACAGATGATGACGAAGAAGAGGCAGAAACTAATTGTTTTTGCTTGGTTTGTCTTAAAGCCTATGCAAACAGCAGATCGAATGAGCTGTGTTTCCAAAAGCAAAGGCTGGGCACACGTGGATTGTACTGGAGACGAGCTGCAATAACTTTGCCACAATTGTCTATCAGATTAGATTAAGATTTTTGACTGATTATAATAACGATTGATCTCAAAGAGATGACGTTTTTACTTAATAGATATAATTACGTGTTATGGGGATGTTAAGTTGTTTTTGTTGGTACTTGATGTACTAACATATGATTAAAGCACTTTCTTGCAAAAATACCATGTTTGATTTATTTATAATACGTATAATGGGTTTTTTATAATCAAATAGTAGAAATACAAAGCTGTCACAACTTACCTTGGTACTTATCAAAACTGATAGAAGAGTTGTGACAAAGGGAGTAGTCTTTGTTTTTGTTGATTTTCTCAGAAACCATAATATTCTAATTATTTTTGATGATTGTTTTGGAAATGTAAGGAATGGTGCTACATTAATTCATATAGGTCTTAACTGTGGAATGATTCTTGTGCGAGATATGTTCCTTGAAGTAAAAATTGTCACAACTCCCCTAGGTCTCCCCTATTAGGTTTACGGACACTATTCTTTTTTGTTTTTTAAAGGTACATTTTAAGTGAGAATGATTTTTTCGATAAAATATTCATTTTTTGAGTTATTGGTTGGAAAATTGACATTTTTAATCGGGAAAAAATGAAAAAGTTCTGAATTTCGTGGGGAAATTTATGAAACAAAAGCTGTTTGAAATTAGTGAATCCACTCACTCCCGAATTTTCAATGAAACATCTTTAATTCCCTTCAACTTTGAAGTATAGGGAATTTATTTGTGAAATTATAAAACAACGATAAAAATAAAAAACAATAATGATTAATTGGCGCTCCGGGGTGACTTCATTGATTCCAGTGGCCCATTTGCTTTTTCAGCTGCAGGAAAACCCGGAAAAACCTGCAGCACCACATCATCTGAAGATCTTGATCTACCAATGTCCTCTCTCTCATAAAACAAACTGTAGGGTGTCTCCAGAGGCTCTAATAGATTCAATACATTCAATACAATAGATACAGTACGCCTAAGTGGAACCTAATAATTTTTTTTATAAATCGGTAGCAAAGTTACACAGTAGGTACTGCCGTATTTTACCTTCAATGATTGGACTAAATATAGGTATTCTTTGTTTTTACTCCTTCAAAACTATGGCCGACTACGAACGCAAATAAAATGAAAAGTGATACGTATATACAATTAAAATGGACTTACCAGTGCACTTGAGTTCCTTTGTTAATTCATCGGAACCAAGGAAGCAGTTCGGAGTTCCGTCGCATAATTTTGATAATTCGAATAACTGTAAGACGTCCGTCGACTCGTTAACTTGGCAACCGAAATATCCGTCCTCGAGGTTGAGGAAGAACACTTCTCGTTTTATGCCGAAACCAATTCCTCCAAAGGATTGGGATGCCTGCAATAAAATTCAATACATAATTTTACAATTAATATTACCTACACAATAAAAGAAAAACTGTACCATAGAAAAAATTGTTCTGATACTACCTAATACTAAAAATAAGATAACACAGCAATTTATCCCATTTTGCAGAAACCAACCTTGTTTTTGAAATTGAACGAAAATAACTCCATCATATAAAATGTTCCAGTTTTCTTGTATCTGGTTTGTGAATAAAAATTTGTTGTTAATCTATGGTAATCATGATTTTATCAATCAAAACGTAAATGTTTTACAAAACTCAAGTGTTTACTACATTCTACATGAATTTTTTTATAGAAAAATTATTCACCTAATACAGTAAGTTGCCTACTAATTCTAGTTTAAACATTACTTTCATTGAACAAGTATTCTCTGACCCAAGTTTTTTTTAGCAAATATTAAAAAAAAAAGTTATTCGTCACAGAAAAAAAATTAAGAAATTTTATCACAAAATAGAGCAAAAATCCCAGAAGTCAATAAATTATGTGTTGCTTACAGAAACATGTAAAATACCTTGGAGTTGAAGATATCAGAATTAAAAAGTTAAAAAAAACCGATTTGAATCACTCAAGTGTCATTTACTCTTATTTAATTTGTATGGATAATCATAAAAAAACTGTATGTCGGGGGAGTTTATCTTGAATTATACGGGAAAGCATTCACATCAGAACGAATCACTTTCTCCAATCTCCAGTACTGCAATAGGCACTATTCTCGACGCGCGTTTCATCACCCAAGTTGGCGTCTTCAGAAGATGAAGAAAACTAATTCTTAACTCTAAAATTGGTCTCTATTTATATATAACAGGGTATACTTTCACTTTTCGACATTGAAAATGTTGTCAATCAAAACGTAAATGTTTTACAAAACTTAAGTGGTTAATACATTCTACATGACATAATACAGTAAGTTGCAGATCAATTCTAGTTTTTTTTTATGTTTGGAAAAAAATGTTTAGCGGAAAATTATCTCGTGAAGTTCCCGCTTAATTCAATAAAGTGGTTTATGAAAAGGTGAACAGTGGGCTGTTTGGAATGGAATCTTTGTCACTGTTCATAGTTCTCATGCCACACGTTGCTATTTCCAGACTTTCGAAACCGTCTCAAAATCTAGTTTCATGTACCGAAGTCAATGATTACTATGGCCGTGTTGAGTGACACTAGCTTTTTCTGGTTTCCGAAATTGGATATGCTTTGAAACAAGTTTCAATGGCTCGCTCAGTTTGATCAATATATTTTGGGTCTCAGTTCTTACAGATTTCAGCTTTCATATATCCCCGACTTTGCATTTCTCAACAAGAAGCGTACAAGACGTTTTGAAGGCTACTTCCACGTTCAACTTTTTGAAAATACGATCTAATCCGTTGCTCTATCTTGGTTCACATAGAAAAACAAATGGGTTTGAAATTTATGTATTTTTGAAAAATCGATTATTTATGAAGATTCTCCCTAACTTTCTGTTTCGTAATAAACTTATCTACGCTGTTTGAAGGATGCCCGTTGCTTCAAAAGCTGTGTCCCTGATAACATTTACCATGGTTATTTATAATCCCTATGACATCCAAGAATGGTAACTCCTCGAAAAGTATTTGCCTTCAAGTAACATTTTTAAAATTATGGTTCGTCCGCATTTCGATCGAATGAGATTGGTGTATGCGAGGGATACGAAACGATAATATTTTCAACTCAAAGAATCTCGTTTGAAAATCTTAATTTCAGGCTGCCAAGTCTTCAATATTTTCATCGTTTTCATGAATTAGGAGAAATAGTCAAGGGTTATATTGAAATGTGTGCAATATAACCTCATACAACTCAATTCGGTGATTGATGGTGAAATATCTCAAAATTATTAGGCTACGAAAATTATAATCTTCCTCAAGAATATTCATGTTGATTTATGTTTATTTCTATCGGTTCCTCGTTGATGTAAATCTCTGTGAAAGCTGATTGATGATGATGAATTGAGGGGTAAATATTCTATTAAAATTTTTCATTTTCCTTCTAGAAATAGCTAACTTGTGGCAAACATTTTTTTTTCAAGGAAATGTGAAGTTACTTTTTTATCTATTTTGAAAGTTACAAAAATCTGAATTTGTGGTACTGAAATAATAGTTATATAGTTATGTGGGCAACTTTTGGGTGTTTTCAGTTACGATTCAAGAAACCAGACATTCTCGATCTCATTATTAACGTTTTGCAGAGACAAATTATTAACTGTTATTTTGGACAATCGTGAATACTTTTTATATCTCAGAATTGTTGAATTTAAAACTTGCTCTCTTTTGAGATATTTAACACAATGTACGAATTTAATCACTCTCCGCATTTAATAACACCGTTAGAAGATTCATTAGTAGTGTCCTTGTCGCTTCACATAAGTGCACAAGCATATGACTTCATTATATAACTATGACAACTGACCGGTCGGCAATTACATTTTTTATTGAATTGAATTATTTCGCTCTTTATTATAGTACAATCATCAAGCAAATGCAAGAATCAAAGTGCAATATAGTAGGTAAAAATAAACGACCTTGTTTGATAACGGAACGTTATTCAGTAACCTTCAAGAACGGAAATGGTTCCACCCGATGATTTTTGCTAGTTTCCAGTTAATTAACTCAAGAGTCTGGGTAAAGTCCATGGGATTTCAAAAAATTATGTAGAATCAACGATTACTTTTGTGGAACGATTCATTATTCTATACTCATTCAAACGAATGAAATATTTTGGATAGTTTATGAAGACTCCGTGCAGGCAGGCGAATAGTTCAATACCGCAAATTATGAGTTGAGAAAGATATTGTACGGACTGTCTACTCATGGCTCTTAAATTGAAATAATACTCATCTATCTTATATATCAATTACAGGAAAAACGAAAAACTCATTACAAATGTATTAGTTTTGAAACAATAAACTTCCTCTGTTTGTCGAATGAGAGACTATAATAACTTTTTGTTTTTCAATATTATAATTTCAGTGATGTCTTATTTGAATTTCTAACCTTTCGTGATGAGTATCGCACGTTGAATAGGGAGACTCCATTAATCCTTAGCTTGTACAAGTTTCGCCTTTTGACGACTGGAGGGTGATGACAGCTGGTTAACAGCCGTCATGCCTCCAACTTAATCGGGAATATACCATGGAAAATTTGTATAATCAAGTGTTTGAAGTATCATCCTAATTACGTTTCAGTTATCTATAATAATTATAGATGATTTTATAGAAATTGAGTAGATTACGAATTTTCTTCGTGATATTCTATAACTGCCTATGACATATCATATGAATTTGAAAATCGATTTAACAAAATCCACTTTGAACAGTGTTGGTAATTGAAAAATAGTCGATACTTAATGGAACCCATAATAAACAACAGTTCACTGTGTGATGTATTCACATCAATGTTTTGTGGAAATATAGTGTTATAGAATACGGGTGATATGAAGGTACCTATATTAATGAGCGATTTATTACAAAAACGCATTTTTTTACGAAATTAAAATACCACTATGGAAGATACAAATAATGCTGATTGAAAGTTGTACAGAGAAATGTTACACAATAAAAAAACTATTTATGCACCATGTTAACTTTAATACTGCTGATTACTTTGGTCAGATACCGAACAGATATCGTTCTGATCTAAGAAAATTTGCAAGAACTGAAATATATGTCTCTAAGTCTCGAAGAAATTCTATAATTTGGCTATTTTATATATACCTTCTCGGTTTGCTGTAGTTCTTGAAGGAATTAGAGAACACGATTGCTCGGTATCAAAAGATATTCACCGTCAGAAGCAGAACATTTCAAGATACTTAATAGCTAGAGATTTTATTTTTTATCAGATATTTCTTTCTAATAATGCACTTCGTTCATGATATTACATCGTGGTAAGGGAGCTATGATTCCGAAACCGCCTGCCTCTAATATATACATTTCATAATATACCTTCATGGCCCCATCTCCCGTAAGTTAATTTTTTTGTTTCTCATGTTCTTCGAAGTTCAATAAGTATTATTATTATTATTATTATATTTGTTTATAATATATGTATATGAAAGAGCACAGCACAAAATACGTGCTAGTTTGAGTCAAAGCTGGCTGGAAATATGATAGTATTTGCAAATAAAAAATATTAAACCTAAAAAATTGTGCAATATCAGAAAATCTGTGGATTATAGAAAGAAACTAATGAAACATGAGTTAACTATTGGAAAACTCAAAGATTTGAACACTGAACAACAAAAAGTCTAGAAGGCAAGGCAAAAATTTGATGCAAGGTGAAGTTCGAATATTGCTAAATAAATAATCAACCTGATTGAAAAATGTTGAAATAGAGATATCAACCAATCAAGACGTAGTTTATTGTCGAATGTGAAATCTCATTGACAAAGTGTTACTATTCTGAGAAATGTAAGACATACAACTTAAAAACGAAGAAATATTAAAAGAAGATATTGAAAATACTTTTGTTTTTTGACACTATAATTTTCACTATGTTGACTGAGAATAGAAAACAAATTTTTCATTTCATCTTGAATATGAAACTATATTTCTTACCCATCTACTGTTTCCCAAAAATTATCGATTTTTCGTTTTTTTTATCTAGGCATGCTTTCACGGTCTTTTATATCAACTAGGTATTGATATTATGCATCAAAGGTATTTAATTTTTTCACAGTTCCCAAATATTTTTTTTCTTTCATCGACACAATTATTATAAAGTCCATGAATTCTAGTAATTTTGAAGTTAATATGGATTTCCGAGAAATTGTAATTGATTTTGAAACTTGTTTTTTGCTTTTTTGTTTCATCAGCAATACCAGAACACCTTTTCCTGATCCAGTAATATGAATATTGTCCTGATGTGGTATTCTATTCCTGGAAAACGTTCATCAAGATATTTGCAGAAGTCATTCATTGCAAAAGAAAGAAACATAATACTTTCGCTTTTCTATCTTCTTCTATTT